CAGTTAGTTCAGTGTGAAGAAATATTTCTCCATTCAATGATTTCATTTTCAAGCTGTACAGCCGTATTTATATAACGGAAAAAAAGAAAGTGGCATTAAGTGGCACCAAAGATTGCTCAGCAGTCAATATACATATGATATTTGACATGATGTGTAAGGGGATAGAGTTGGCTCAACCTGTGACTACCCTGACATGTAATGATACCAGAAGGTGATATCTCAGTGTAGGTCCAATTCACTTCAATTTCCTTCTGCAAATTTGTTGGCTGATTTTCTGCCTGTCTGAGTTTCTTGTTACTTTCCTTTTTGATTAGCCATGTGGTTGGTCTTCAGTATCGACCAGGAAATATAAGTGTTTACGAAAGATTGAAATAGCTTATTTCGGTGACGTGTGCAACAAATCCTTGAACACGATAGAAGCTGTGGTTTGATATAATATTATTGAAAATCCGAATCTGGTTCTTTATCTTGAGTGCATCAGATTTTCATACTGATTTCATGGTAATGAACTGATACTTTCCTTTTACGATTCTGTCTTTAACATCCTCATCGGTTTCACCTGCAGTTAAAACGATTTTATTTTTTAAATATTCACTTTCGTTCCCAGTGGAACATATGAGCTCAGAAGTTTCAGTAGCAGTGGTGATTTTACGGGATGGGGTTGCTAACCTCACGCCCAGCCACCCTTCGATGCTGGGGTTATCACCGGTTAAGCGAGGTAAAGGTACACTTCGGCCGAAGATCGAACTCCATACCACTTGCGTCGTTGGTTAGTGTTCTACAACTAATTCACCGACTCACCAGTTAAAACGATGCTGCTTATATAAGTGGAAGAGTTGATTTCTTTCTGGTTATTCCCGAGGATGACAATGATTGATGCTTGCTGTTATTGTAGATTAAGTATCTTCATCACCTATGTCTTCTCTATGTTCACTTGAAATCCTGTCTTCGCTGCCCACCTCTTTCTTGTTGGTTATCACCAGAAGATCTTTAAGTTTGTTAAACATAAATCATTTACTAAGTATAGATCTTCCAGAGTCATCTCATCAGTCCAATATGAGCCTATCTTCTTGCTCCCCAAGGTCTTTTGTATAGATCCAGTTTACTACAATCAGGAATATCATCTGTGACAGTAAGTCACCTTGTATTATTCTTGTCTTCATCGAGCATTGCACTGTGAATCACTTAACATTCGGCAACATTATATGGGAAAAACACAGTGTTTGTTCAGCGAAGGAATATCCCCCCATTCAGCAAGTTGATGCCGAAACTGTGCGGTTGTATTTATATAATGGAAAAAAAAGAAAGTGGCATCAAGTGGCAATAAAAATTGCTCTGCAGTCAACATACATATGATAAAAATAAAGATATTTAGCATGATGTGTAAAAGGGGTAAAGTTGAAATGGATGGATTACAAATTTTGTAAAGATTGTTAAGTAAGTGAATCGGTATTATGATTTTAAAAATAGTAGGTCAAGTGTCGTTTAAAATATTAAGAGTACGATGTTGATAACAATTAAACAAGGTGAAGATGAAGTGAAGTGGAATGAATTCAAGTGGTAAAATATAGCAACATAAAAGAACATTATTATGACCACGGTAAAGAAATGCGTTTAACGAAACGTCTTCGAACACATAATCTAGGTTTCTGTCCTTGGATAACTGGAGCTTCGGCTTTGCATAACTAGAGAGATTTTGAAGTGGTTGGATTCTGCCCTGTAGATAACGTTAAGAGATAAATAACATAAGGCTGAATGACTTGACTCCAGAAGGTGTTCACAAATTGAAGCCTTTGTTGTCATATGCTCACCTTTTATTAACCAAATCGGATGGTATTAAGCTATATGTTTACTGAGAACCTGCTAAACACGTTCAACATAATCAGCTCCACAGGAGCATGTGAATGAGTATATGAACATAGAAGTAGACATAAGAGATAGTTTAATCCCTGACGCATTCTCGAATCATATTTCCGCTGGTAAATAATAATCGTAAGTCAGGGGCATGAAAATGACTTTTAATCAAGTTAGATAAACGACTTTTAATTGCTTCAGTAATACTGTCACCTTAGAACGTCAAACTCTTAAACAGTGTCTTCTTGAGCATTGTGATTTGGCTAGGGACGGTTTCTTTCTTGATGTTTCTGTCAATAAACCTTCCAGCTGTGCGAAGATTTTCTAGTTCTATGTCGACAGTATGTATAGGACAGATATTTCGAATCCTGGAGTATAAATGAACTGATAAGGTTTCCCTCCCTGTCTAGATGAACCCAACATTACATAGCTGTTGAATGAAGTTTGTAGAGGTTTGTGGGACTACTAATTATAAATGAAAGGTAGTTGTCAAATTTCCCATTCTCAGCGCTTACGAAAAGCTTTTAAGGCTGAGGTGAATCTCTCCAGGATAATGCATATGATCAAGAAATGGAAGCAATTTTGAATTTAATTGAGAATTAACACACACCAAAGTTTCTTGTCTATTTATGCAGAAACACCTTTTCACCCTACTCGTTAGTAGTTCAAAATTATATGCAAAAATTGTTAAAAAAACTGTGAATTAGCTTGAGACGGCCTAGTTTTTGTTATTAATTCAATTACAAACATTTCAAGCGAATTGTGTAAAACCAGAAACTGCCGATTGATAAAGACAATTAATTGTATACCATTCAAATCAACAGGTAGTACTTGCTAGCCAGGTCGAGGTGATCTACACAACAGACGGCTGTTTTACCTTTCTGAGGCCAAGATTATCAGTGGTGTACTCAGTTCGACTCAGATAAGAGAGCGGAAACAATTCACAAGTCACGATTTCTGACCAACTACTTGATATACATAGGTATACAAATACTCATCCCAATCAACCAGTAGTACATAGTTTCATTGAGATATGTTCGCGTTCTTGAATACCATCTGTGGTATCAATCAGATCACATATAGTGATTTGAATAATTACAGTTTCCAAAGAAATCCATGGTAAAATTTCACCTTCTCAAACTGTGTAAATTTAAAATCACTAATCCATTTAAAAATTTGATCTCAGACTAATGTTACGGATCTCGATGATAACTTCTAATGATTTTAATAAGTTTCTTTAATTAGAAGTGAACAGATAAAATATTCGCCAACAAAGCAGAGGGAAGTTTGAATTTGATTTCTGGCAGACTTATTCTTAGATCTCACCTAGCCGATCATAAACAACTCAAAGAATAAGGATTGACAGCCTAACTTGAAACTCCACTCCAGTCTAAACTGCTGCTAGTGAAACACCTTAAATTTATCCCAGTGCTATGTCCCACTCGAAACTCAAAGGAATAGAAGTAACATTTTAAAATACTAAAGCGTGTATATCAGAATTCACTCTTTAGGTATCATGAGTAACAAATAAAGATTAGCTGTGAAGCACTCGTGGGTGATGTCAGGTTTTGAGATTTCCAGGAGTGCATAAGTTAGTTATGAAGCGGCAAATATACACCTTGCTTACAAGCGTAAATTAGCACATCGAAGGAAAACAGGTCTACAGACTCCAAATGATTGACGCTAACACATCATTTCAATATCAGGTCAAATACACATTGCACACATGACTGATAGAGAAGTGGCACATAGCCAAAAACTCCCAACAGTGATCGAAATGTAATCAGCAAAGATTAAAGGAAGATATGCATAAGGTAATCAACTTCACCCCTTAGAAAAAGTACAAAAACGACACCAAAGTTACTGAAACTTCATATCTGGAGGTCCTGTATTCCACATTTGGAACTCAACTGATTGAATTTGCCTATATATATTTGAACTATGCATAGATGTGTAGTGTACAAGCGATTCTGTTTTCAAAGACAAAAACACACACTCACACACATACAAACTAACTGGTAGATCGATCAACCGGAAAAAAGTAACTTTTAATAGAAGAAAAAATCAATTGTATTGGATCGATTACAATTAAAGAAACAATTATCATTGCCTGGGATACGAAGAGAATAAATACTAGACAGACAAATGGTAATAACAAAGAAAAGGACCGTTTGAAGATATAAGCAGACAGACGACAGCACCAATTATTACTGCGCTGGAATAGCGCACACAGACAGATCTATACTCACATAGAATAACAGTAATAGTAATCATAGTAATAGGGGTTGTGGTAAGGCATATGATATACGTATATATGGTCATTTTTTACGCAATCATGCAAATGAGACAAAGGATGTGTATCACTGTAATCTCTCTCTCTCTCATTTACTACAAACTCTATCATCCTTCATCTATTCACAGATTCTTTATGTATTTAAAACAGAATGAAGTAAAAGTTAAGTAAAACAGCAGCAAACTACTTAATTAGTATATATCAGTAGCAGTAGCAAAACAATGAGAAAAATAATCCGGAGAAAAGAAAAATATAGAAATAAATATTTATATATTCTAAATTGTTAAAATTGTACAAGTGTTGTGCGCGCGCGTTGGTTACGGGAGGTTGTGGGGCAGGTGGGGGTGGGTGGGTGGCGACTGGGTAGTTGGAGAAATATTCAACTGTTTCTTTAATTTTTTGTTCCTTTCCTTATTCTGATCAAGCGAAGGGCACGTGCGCGCGCAAGAAAATAAATTCTGTGCGTTATTGTGAAAGGAATGGAATATTATCTACTCAATCGACCGGTCAATTAACACGCACACACACACACACAAACATACACTCACATGCACATAAATACACAGACAAAAATTCGCATACTAGAGAATAAACAAACAAACAGACAAAGTTTTTTTAATTACATAAATAGTTCACAATATACTCATCAATCAATGAAAGAGAAGCAACACATTCAGGTCTATTTAATTTTCTACACTTTGATTGAGTGATCTCCATGATACAATAGGAGATAGGACATCATAGTATCGCATAACCCATAGACATACACTTGAAAACAGAAGTGAGTATAAACACCCATATATATATATATGAGTAGGGCAATCAAACAAAAACAAACAGAAAAGCAAAAAAGTCATTTTTTAAAACTAAACTTTTTCTTTGTAAAAATTCGTGAAATAGATATCTTCGGAGATGACTGGGATGTTGGCGGATGACCAGATGATTCAATTGAATCATTGTGTACAACAACACAAGGCTTATCAGTAATCATAGATGTGGTTAATTCTACTGCACTATTCACAGTTCGATGACAATAGGGAACTGATGAAGATGACAACGGTGGTTGAGGAGTTGATGCAGAATAACTAGCCCCAGTGTGTGAACCATTAGACGATAGTTCTTTTTGTCGAAGACTTTGTATTCGATGACGGAATGACGTGAATGAATTTGAAAACCATCTAGTTAATTTATGCATATTGTGCGGGTTACTCTTACAACTTTTGACAAGTTGTTTATCTGTATGCTTTTTGTCTTTCTTACGATGAGCAGTTGAAGAACAACTCTCTTCAGGTAGAAATGTTTTCTCATCAGTATCAAAATCACTAGACACCTGATCTATATCATTCACCATCTTAGGCAATGTTTGTGAGTTCTTTGTTGTATAGCCATCACGTTTTAACCTTGATCCACAATGCCAAGTTTTTTGATTCGATGAATAATCATTATCAACGACAATATTACCGCTTTCCACTACTGCTTCTTCTTCATATCCATCTGAATTCGAGGGAATTAATTCACTTGCATCTGGGAGACTACCAGTACGAAAATTAACACATGAATTCAATGCAAATGTAGGCGGTAATCTATATAATGTCGACGGGACAGAGACTGGTAAATCAGCTGGACATGCAGGAGGTTCTGGTAGTATATGGTTCTTGGCATTAGTTGTGAAGTTCGGCGGTTGTGAAGCTTCATACAGTGGAAGAGAGAGATTATTGTCAGGTAAATGATTATCCTTGTTGAAAGCACTGTCGTTGTCTGAAGCATTCATTGGAACAGGATATGTAGATTGAAATTTTAACTTTGATTCAGACTCATGTGGGCAACACGGAACAATACCTGCAAAATGAATTGTAAATTATAAATTAATACTGTTAGATAAAGTAATCATATGGTCATAACACGCTGGATTATCACTAGCCCATTGGTAGGACCTAAAACAGTTAAGAGCAGAGAAAAGATGAAAACAGGAGAGAAACAGCAAAACTTTTTCGATAGTGTATATATCCATATACTACTAAGCCATATGTCAAAAGTAATATATCTCTATAAGCTTTCAGTATCCCAAAAGTTGTTGTGTGGCTATTAGCCAAGAGGGATACAAACAAGGTGTCCACTGGACACCAGTGAAATAATGAAGAGGTTAAAATTCTCTCTTAAAAGAAATTATTTTACATTTAAGGGGAATTTATATAGACAGACAAATTATGTTGCCATGGGTTCACCGGTTTCCCCAATAGTCGCTGATTTTTTCATGAATACATTTGAAGATAACATCTTTTCAAGCACACTAGTGCGTCGGTGGCACAGTGGTTAGGACTCTCGCCGACCATGCGCATGGTCCGAGGTTCGATCCCCTGCCGACGCACACCTGATATCTATAGCCGCCCTGCGAAATTTGGGCTACCGATATCCATGCTGAAAATTCCATACTTGTACCAAAAATACAGTGTGGAATCAAGCTGTAAATAAAAAAAAATATAGTTAAGACACGTTGATGATACTTTTGTAATGCTCAAACGACACCTTTTCAGTTAATTCTTGGAGAAACATAACAACCAGTCTCCCAGCATCCAGTTTACTTCAGGAACAGAATGAGGCGTCGGTGAACTACCATTTTAAGACTGCCTAGTCAAGAGGATGGAAAACGGTTTTTTTTAATTAAATCTACATTCCAGAAGAGCACACACTCGAAGAAACAAATAGACCTCGGATCACCACACCCCAAAAGAACACAGGTATCAGTTGTTTCAAGCCTTCTAAGACGAGCACACTATTTGTAAACGGATGAGAAGGAAAAAGAAGAAATATCAGACATTACTGAGACTCTCAAGAAAAATAACTACCCAAAGAACTTCATCAACCAAATCAACAGTGACATTAAATATGGTCGGAAAAGTATTCCGAAGATAAAGATCTTAACAGTTGTCATCCCATATAGACCAGAAACGTCAGACGATACCAGAAGAGTACTCAATAAGCACAACATCAGAGTTTTCTTCAAAACACCAGACAGTACAGAGCAAACTTGTTCATATAAAAGACTGAATCCCAAAGGATTCTCAATATAATTGTATCTATAAAATAAAATGTTTGGAGTGTGATGCGATATACGTCGGACAAACATCGCCATAGCTCATCTACACGCAATAAAATCAGGTCACAAAATTGATTTTGACAATATTGAAAACAATTGAAAATATTGAAATAATCCAGAAAAATTCCACAAATCACAAAGAACCTCTCATATCATCACAAGTACTTCATATCAAATGGTCTGAATACGATTGATGGGATAAAACAGAATTTGACCTGGTTGCAACACCCCTCTACTTCATGAAATGACAAAATCAACACGAATGTGATAAGCAATTTCATTATGTAAACACATGCTCTTTTGTATAGTTTTATACTCTCATGAAATCCAACAATCTACACTTGGTTTTGTTATCTTTACCAATTAACCAACGTAAAAGTTTCCGTATGTTGTTAAACGACGACCAAGTTGATATATATAAGCTGAGATTGTGTAAATTCTGATTTAATAATACTTTGAAAAAGCTATTAGCAGCAGCATGAAATAGCGAAGCGTCAGTAAGAACAACAATATCGTTTAACTCTTTTTCATTCATTGAGAAATCCAAAAATTTTATAAGAAACAAGGTGTATTTACAGCTCTGTTTTATCTCAGCTTGCAGATACTGAACACATAAAGTGTTGATGTTAACAAGGCAGTTACACAGTTATCTGTCATATTCTCAATGATCTTAATCTTGCTCTACGAGTTCGTTTTCTAGATTATAGTTGACGCTAACAGGATTCATCTGCAGCCGTCAAAACCTATGTGTTCATAAGAAATTTGCTCAGCTTGAGCATTCCTCACTTTGATCATCACTACAGGATTGTAAGAATCTGACAATTTCCCCTTCAGTCTAAGCCATTTTAAAAGTTACTATTATTTTAATCTGTCTTTAGTTCTTGACCTTTTTTATTCCTTTACGTCCCCAGTGGAACATAGGGCTTCAAGCTAGACGCTTGAAGTTTCGGTAGCAGTGGTATTTATTTTTACGTCAAGGGGTTGGTAGCCTCATGTCAAACCTCCCCTATTTACCAGTCATACTGTGGTGAGAGCTGTTTGCAAGCCGAAATCGGAAACAACTTACGTCAGTGTTTACGTCTCGAATCAGGGTCATGAGAAAAAACAAGAACGAAGCTTAACCTTGAGGAGCCCAACAACTAATCACAGCAGACTTTGCGTGGGCGGACACAATTTGCAGATATATGGGTAACTTTGTAAGCAACAGTCACAAGCAGTACAGATTGACCATCAGCAAGAAGAACCAATCAGAAGACGTTGCTTCTGTGCTAAAATAACGTACAATAATGTACATAATGTGCGTCGGTGGCACAGTGGTTAGGACTGTAGCCGACCATGCATATGGTTCGGGGTTCGAGCCCACGCTGACGCACACCTGATGTCTATGGTTGGCCTGCGAATTTCGGGCTACCGATATCCACGCTGAAAATTCCACACTTGTACCAAAAATACGGTGTGGAATCAAGCTGTAACCAAAATAAATAAATAAAATATAAATATCTGTTGATTTTCTCAATAAAGGATCGGCTGCCTGGCGGTTGTCTTTTGCCGTCACAATATTACTGGCTTAAGGAGGTAAAGGAGCGTGTCGGCGTCCCGGGATCGAACCCCGGACCACCTGCATAGTTGGTCAGCATTCCACCGCTGTGCGACCAACGCACCAATTCTTGTCTTAACTTAATGATATTCAATTTAGTACTACATTTCTATGCGTCGAATCACCTACATATAATTATGAACTGTAGTTCTTTTGACCTAAGCGATTGGATACTATTAAATAAAATTATTGTTGCCAATAAACTTGTCATTATTTTAGTATTTGTCAGACAAAATGAAAGTAAACACTACTAGAACTCGTGTTTATACTCAACCTTACTGACATGATGTATTACTGTGGTGAGAGCTGGCTGCAGGCCGAAATTGTGGACAACAATTTACGTCAATGTTTACGTCCCGAATCAGGGGCACAGGAAAAACAATAACAAAGCTTAACCTTGAGAAAATCATCAGCGAATCATAGCGGAATTAACGTGTGGAAATATGATTTGCAGGTATATAGCTTCAATATCTGAGAAGCGCTCAAAAAGCAACAACAGAATAATCTCCAGCAAGAAAACAACCAGTCAGAAGACGTTGCTTCTCCACTGACAATAAATAAATATCTCTAGATTTCCTCAATAAACAATCTGTTACCTAGGCTTTATCTTCTGTCGTTACATTACCAGTTCCATAATAGGTAAGTTTATTTCAAATACCACACAGGGATGCAGTATGAATAAATTATTGCCTGTAATCATATCAATCTATTCACACGGTTTCACAATTTATCTTATATGTATATACATATATTCTCCTTTTTCTCTCTCCCCAACTTTCTCTTGTTTTTTGTCGTCACTATCCATATCTCCATATCTCCGTGTTCCCAAATGTCCACTAATACCAGTTCGTCGAAGTAAGTAGCTGAATTTCGGGTAGTTAGAATATATTCGGCCCTCTGATCTGAGCTAGACCGACTACGCAGATCATGAGCTCGGTCTCAAACAAGCGACACAGCAGTCCAGTTCATAGATCAATTCGATCTGTCTAGCAAACACTACTGGTTGGCAGTAAGTAGTTTTACGTTTAAGTTGACCGTCAAAACAAGGTATCTACTGGCACGTCGGGTGCTGAACAGCTGGAAGATCAACACTTCAAAAACTCAAAGAGCCGTAAATAAAATAATTAAGCGTTTGAAAAGAAGGGAATACCTCCACCAGACGTTAACATTGGTTTCAACCTAAAACGATGGTAAAAAAGCTATCGAGTACTATTAATTTTATTTCAAACCATTGAACTACTTGCAAATTAGCAAGTAGCGAAAATATTTAACGAAAGTCGACAGTTTATTGAATTTAATCCTACCTAAATTGGCAAGATGTGATTCAATACCCGAATACTGTAAACATGCTTCAGGGGAATAAAAGAAACTTGACATATTCTCAGGTTTTGAGTGCTCATCATCGTCATCATCCAGATCATGATATACCTAAGAAAAAAGGATAGAAAAGGAAAATGACTGGAGGAACTGAGAATTTGAAACGATGACTGCTGGGTTCTAATCTAAGAATACATCCTCACCCTTTAACATATTCTGAAACACAGGCAAATTTATCGGTATGTCACACATGTTATATTTTTTTTACCTGAAGTAGGCATTTCACTCCGTTAAACAAGAGGAGTTATGGCGAAGTCTGGTCGTGAAGCAAGTACCGAGAATAAGTGCATTCTAGTTCATGCGGCCGTGTAACATTATTATTATTTCCTTTAATTCTTAGAGGAACATAGGGTTTCAGCCGCACGTCTCCATTGCGTTCGGTTCTCTGCTAGCTCCACCTAGCTCCAAGTCTGCCCACATGCTTTCGTCTCATCTTCACATGACCTCCTCCAAGTCACCCTCGACGACCAAATCACCGCTTCCCTTTCGGGCTCCCCTCGAGGAATGGCTTGTCTAGTGATGTCACTTGATGGTTTCCTCAGAGTATGGCCAATACACCCACCTACATTTCTTCCTGCTCGTTTGTTGCACAATCGGTTCCTGGCTGGTTCTCTCATTGCCAGAGATCTCTGTTGCTGATCTTGAGTATTGAGCGAAGACAACTGTTAATGAAGGCCTGTAGTTTGTTTGAGATGCTCTTTATTACGCGCCAAGTCTCTGATCCGTATAGTAGCGCAGACTGACTTCACACTGGAGTTGAAAATCCGGATCTTATTTTTGATGCTGAGTGATGTTGACCTCCACACAGACTTAAGAGTAATGAAAGCTTGTCTTGCTTTCCCTATCCTCGCTTTGATATCCTCATCAGTTCCGTCAGCCTGTAGTTGAAACGATGCTTCCCAGGTAGGTAAAGGAGGTTTTTTCTTTCAGGTTCCTCCCATTTATGCTGATTGTTGTCTGTTGGTGTTGGCCAGGAATCTTCATCATTTCCGTTTTCTCTATGTTCACCTGAAGTCCTATCTTTGATGCTTCTTCTGCCGACTTGTTGCTTTTCACTTGCACATCTTTCAGTTTGTGGAAAATCAGACATATATCATCGGCGAAGTTCAGATCCTCCAAGTATTTTGTGTGAGTCCATTTTATGCTTGTTTCCTCATTGCCCGCTGTCTGTTGCACTATCCAATCTACTGTAGTCAGGAAAATCATCTTGGATAGTAGGCAGCCTTGCCTTACTGCCGTCCTCACTTCGAAGGATTCCGTGAGTTTCCCGTTGTGGATTACTTGGCATGCAGCATTGTCGTACAACTGTTGGGTGAGATGTATAATTTGGAATTGATAGTGTTCTCTGAGCTCCTTGGTTTAAGTACGGAGCTTTCATCGTCTTTCTGGACGACATCTTCAGCGCAGTATTTAGGATTAAGTGAAATGATTTAAATTTCTTCATGAGTCTCCCGGTAACCATCTTTAGATATTTATTGACCGTTTTCTATTGATTGGGATTTTAAACTTTCTGATCACCTGATTTACTTCTTATTAGTTGGTATATTTCATCTATATTAACGTGTTTATTAATTGCGTTTTCATTTGAGTACCAGGCTTCTAGGAATTCTCTGGCACATTTGGTGTTTCCTCTGTTTAAAATTTTGACATTATCCCAATCAAATTGATGTCCATGATCGTCTGAATGTATTGATACTAAAGAATTTATATCATATCTTTTCACGGCTGATTTGTGTTCCTGGATTCTTATTCGAAGGGGACGCCCACTTTGGCCGATGTAATGTTTGTTACAGTTCACACAATTTATTTTGTAAATGGTGTTAATTTTATCTCCCTTTTCTATCGGATCTTTTGGTTTGCATAAGATAGAATTAAGCGATTCAGCTGGTTTGTGTGCTACATCGGCCAAAGTGGGCGTCCCCTTCGAATAAGAATCCAGGAACACAAATCAGCCGTGAAAAGATATGATATAAATTCTTTAGTATCAATACATTCAGACGATCATGGACATCAATTTGATTGGGATAATGTCAAAATTTTAAACAGAGGAAACACCAAATGTGCCAGAGAATTCCTAGAAGCCTGGTACTCAAATGAAAACGCAATTAATAAACACGTTAATATAGATGAAATATACCAACTAATAAGAAGTAAATCAGGTGATCAGAAAGTTTAAAATCCCAATCAATAGAAAACGGTCAATAAATATCTAAAGATGGTTACCGGGAGACTCATGAAGAAATTTAAATCATTTCACTTAATCCTAAATACTGCGCTGAAGATGTCGTCCAGAAAGACGATGAAAGCTCCGTAATTAAACCAAGGAGCTCAGAGAACACTATCAATTCCAAATCATCCACCTGAGTTACAAATCTTTTCTATTATTTCGAGATGTATAATTGTCGGCGGCACCCCGTAGTAGCGAAGTAGCTGCCAAATCATCTCTCGATCGACGCTGCGCTATCGAAGGCCTTTTCAAAGTAGATGAAGTTGAGTGAGGTAGAGAGGTGACTGCCATTCCAAGTTTTGTTCAATGATGATCCGTAGAGTGGCGATTTGATCAATACATGACTTGTTTCTCCTGAACCCAGCTTGTTCCGGTCGAAGCTTTTCATCTAGGGCTTGTTTGATTCTATCCAGGATGATGCGGCTTAGTATTTTGCTTGGGATGGACAGGAGCATAATGCCGCACGAGTTCTTGCATTGACTTAAGTCTCCTTTCTTTGGCAGTTTGAATAAGTATCCTTTTTTCCAATCCTCGGGAACCTTGCCTCTTTCCACACCTTCTCCAGTAGTGGCGTCATCAAGTCCACTGTTGTCTCTGGGTCCATTTTCAATGCTTCTGCTGGGATTCCATCTGGTCCTGCTGCTTTTCCAGCTTTTAGCAACTTGATTGCATTCAGGACTTCTGTTCTCGTTGGGGGCCGTGTAACAGCTAACAGATATTTATCATATGAAGCGACGAAGACCAGTTTAGTCTGTCAGGAATGCCTAATGTCTTCATTTTTGTTTAATTTCGTCATAGATGCACTAATCGATGCAATCCTGACCAACTTTAGCGACTCAGGGAATGACTTGTTAACAGGGGAAATTCTCTTCGATTTAGAATTAACGGATGATATTTTCCTTCTAGGTGTTAACGCTGAAAAAATGCAGAGTCTTCTGAAAACCTGTAGTAGAATATTTCGTATGGCATTCGAACGTTTCAAATGGTAAGATGATGCTACAGGACTGATCAGCACTGACATCTAGTTTAAAGATACGGAGCGAAGTAGTGGTTGAGCGTGTTGGCTACTTCACTCATTTGGGAAGTTACATAAGCTCTAATAGGCTGATTGATGATGAGCTTTAACAAAAGGCTCAATTTAATTGAATTTTTGATTTTCCCGTCGATTGATTTGACCGAAGTGCTGGGTTTAAGGTTGACATGTCGGCTTCTTGTGCAGATGCTTCGACGATGTCTGGGTATTTAGTTAGTATTTAATTGTTGGATGGTGACTAGCAGTGGAATCTAGGATGAGCATTTCGTCACATTTGGGACTCGTCAGCTGGATGTACCTGCATTTCTCAGTGAGTGATGATGTTCCCACCGAGGCTCGAGCCCAGTGTCCATAGTTTCAAACGCCAAAGCGTTATCCACTGGGTTCGAGCCTCGGTGGGGAAATCATCACTCACTGAGAAATGGAGGTACATCCAGATGACGAGTCCCAAATAGGACGAAATGCGCATCCTGGATTCCACTGCTAGTCACCATCTACCAATGAAAAGGCTCAACTTGCGTCATTCTTACTCTAGACGTGAAACTTCCTGGCTATCGACTAAAGGACATGTGTACTAAGGTCCACTTTGTCGTTCTTTACGACTGTGAGACGTGGCGGAAATGATGAAAAGGTTAGTCATTTGCGTTCAACTTCTCATATTAGGTGGTATCATATGGTGAGTAACAAGGGGGTTGTGTAAAGGGTAAAAGTTAGTCGATGAGGTTATCAAAGTGAATTGTTTGAGATGGTTAGACCACGTGTCATGCATGCCGAATTCACAGGTGGTAAAACCAAGAAATTTCATCAACCCATGATTTCTTTGACTGTTGGTCTAAGTCACAGTGGTGTGTATGTGTGTGGACTGGGCTCCCTGAGTCCCTCAAAACCATCAATGGTTAGAGACTGTTGCTGATATGACTCAATATTGTTCTCAATAGCTAAGGTGTAGTTACCGTTTGTCTGTGTTCTCCTAGATCAGTTCAGTTTTTGATTATTCTCTATGCAATAATTATTATCATTGTAAAACATTTGTGCAGGCATCTACAATGAAAATTCAGCCAGCCATAGAGAGGATGGATTTCAAACCCAGTAGGTTAGAATTCCCGGATGGAACCACTGAAATAGCTGTTCAGTGCTCTCATGGTTTTGAATGGTGGTAACCCCGAAGTCCCTACTTTCATAAACTACCGATTTCAAAAATAATATCCGTCAAGATTAATCGAATCTCTACATATCCAACATTAAGATGAGAATTCAAATACGAACACATTGGTTGCATAGTTTAAAGTTTACCGTTTTCACACAGATCACAGTCGAGCAATATTCATGGTCGAATGGCTAATAATAACATTATAGTTTGATATGATGCGTAGTGGTGTGACATAAGTTTGTAGTTTTTCGGATGTAATAAGGCTGCGATAAGCAATCGGTAGGCACACATGATAAAATGGCTCCAAATACTTCAAGACACATTATAAATTATTTAAATTAATCCCAGCGTGTTAAGAAAATCAAAACAAGATTTTTCTGAACGTTTCTCCGTGTAAGCCACAGCTTCTTCAGCAGATTTATTCGGTTTACTATTGATCATCAATATATATATATATATATATATATATATATATATATATATATATATATATATATATATATATATATATATCAACACGCTGGGATTAATTTAAATAATTTATAATGAATCAATCTGACTCGGCGCTCAAATTATTCTAGGAAGTTCGTAACACCTACGGTCTGGAAACCTATAACTTCAAGACACTGTTGGGTTTATAACTTCGAATCAGGTTTCATCGTTTTCCTAGACGACAGCGTATTCAGCGCACATACTGATATTCATTTCTCTGTAAACTTAAAAGAGAGAAACACTCCTAAAAATATTCATTTAATGCTTTTGTCACAACAAAAAAGGAACTGATGCTCAAATATCTTAAGTCTACGTGGCGTCGTGAGATGAAGGATTTTTGTGCTAGATTAGCATCGGTTGATATGTCACGACTGCCTGGTTGGGGTCTGAGAGATAGCTCAAATCGATGGCTCGAAACATTATCGGATATGGCCAAGAATCGTAATCAATGGCGAACGTGTTGCAATTTCCTTCTTTCTTCCCTCCCCGATGATAGTTAACGAATACTGTTTGAACTTGTTAAGCACGACTGTTTTCCTTCCAGATGAAGTTCTTTATCTGTTCTCTACTTATATATTTTTTTCTTTTGATCTATGTTGTTTTTAGATAAAGCAATAAGAAGACGTAATTTGTCTGAATCGTGTAATGTATTTGCGCATCACATTTCGAACAATCTGATCACACACGGACTTGTCACAGGACTGTATATATATATAAAATTAATAAAGAGGTAAGAGGTGAGAAAATAGACTACTTAAGTCAAGTTTAAAGGACATATTCAAGGTCAAAATAGCAATGAAGACCAATAAACCAAATATTATTCGTGTTATCACACATTGCCTCATTTTTTCATCCTTATTATTGATAAGACCATTATTATTATTATTATTATTATTATTATTATTATTATTATTATTATTATTATCATTACTACTATCATGACTAATTGCACAATTTATATTCACCATCGTACTATCCTATAGATAAACCAAATAAAACAAATGGAATCATCAGAACCTATTAACGGTGAGAATAGGAGACCTAGCTCTTCTATTGCGAAACATATTATAGAGATAGGTCATAAAATTGATGTTAACAGATCTTTTAAATCTATCTATAAAACGTGTTTGGGGTGTATCCTAAAGTTTGTAGAAGCCCTAGCAATTAGAAAGTTCAAGCCACTTTAATGCGTCCAAAAACAATTTGTCATCACATTAAACCTTCCTTGGTAAATTTTGTTTTGATACCATAGCAGATGTACTATTACCTCTGCTATTTGGTTTAGTGGTCTTCATTGTTATTTTGACCTTGAATATGTCCTTTAAACTTGACCTACGTAGTCTATTTTCTCACCTCTTACCTCTTTATTAATTTTATATATATGCAGTCCTATGACAAGTACGTGTGTGATCAGATTGTTGGAAATGTGTTGCGCAAATACATTACATGATTCAGACAAATTACGTCTTCTTATTGCTACGTTGTTTTATTATTATTCTGTGGCGCATCTTTCTTGGTGCTATATTGTACCAAGTTTTTATGCGTTAAATAAATAAAGTCTACAGATGTGACTGGATTAGACAATATCTGTGAAGTGTGAATTTTTCCCAAACATAATGAAAATCAAGGTAGGCTTCTAAAGTAGATTTCGACACCACGAATTAACAACTCTTTTGCCCCAGTCCAACACTCTTCAGGAGCATGTATATACATACACGCATGCATGACTCATCATATACATCAGGGATTGAATCCAGCCTACCCCCCCCCCCAGTAGTCCAGTACGTACATCTAATTGATGTCGATTTATAATGAAGTCTTCACCTTTTGAAATTGACTTGTATCACAACAAATCAGTACTACCCTTGCAAAAAGAACAAAAAAGAGTCACTCATTCATTCATATTCAACTCACCTTTAATCGATCAATAACAGAGAATGGTGCAACAGCAGTATCATTATTACAAATGACACCTTTTTCTGTTGAGGTTAACTGTGAATCTATACACTTTTCTTCACTTTTGTCAATAATTTCATCTGCAGTAAATATCCTGGCCCCTGTATCATCTATATGCGGTGAAGGATATTCAGAATTTGATCTACGCAAATAGACTAATGGATTAAGCCAACAGATTATACCACGTCGTTGTGTTGGTGTATTATTTGATTGTATTAATTCACTGCGTAATTTCTCTTTAATTTTTTCAACTGACATCGGTGGCAAAGGATCTTGGATACACCAAATGTGTTGACGAATTTGTAATAAAGATAAACGTTTCTAAGTGAGAGAGAGGGAAGGGGAAATAAAAGTAAAATACAATAAGAGAATGTAGAAAACAAAGTGTTTTTATACTTTCATTTGGTGTTTCTTTTTGCGCACTCATAATGGTTCCGTGACTCATCACACTCTGTCTGAAGGCTGGAGATTGCCATCAGTGTGAATTTAGTGTCTGTCAAAGTCATTTAAAACAGCTACTCTCTTGATCATTCACAATTCTTAAAATGGCCAAAAAAAGTGAAAGTCCACCGTAGTTTGTTTATTTCGAGCAAAACGGCTGTCCGTCTGACTAGTGAGCATTACTGGTGCTAATGTAAGCGGTATACACAGCGACTCATGGACTTTAGCTTGTTTTTTCGATTGCTATTTGTGGTAATTTAGCAGATCATATATCGTGGTGATCTGAGTAGTTTTGCTTTCCAAACTGAGTCAAAAACTTTTTCCCCTATTTGATGAACTTAGAATTGTCTGGATTTTAAAATCACTTCAATCTGGTTGACTAACACAAGCACTAATGATTGATGTGAATGGTATTCAGTAGTAGTAGTTGTTTTGAGACAATAAGACCTTTCACATGCAAAACGGGTCCGTCTTTTCTCTTCTGTTATTTTCGCCAGCCAGTGTGTTACCGTTGATAGGCATTTGATTTCATGCAACAAATTCGCTAAAAGGATTTTGTCAGACTGTGAACACCCAATTTAGCCGCATATTTCACCTTACATCTCCTCAGGTAAAACAAAAAGTCATTTCAAAAGACTTTATGCACGCATGTCTAATCATAAAAACTTCACGATATTATAATTGGCGGCACGTATTTCATGTGATGAAAATAGTATCAGGGGCGAACTAACTAACTAACCTTCTTTCCACTTGTAAATAAACAATTTTCCAACCCTTATTCCACCAAGGTTGACTGTTATTATTCTTCTCATAGTTATTTTTTGTTTTCCCCTTCACTATGCTATATCAAGAGAATATTAGATTCAATACCTCTGTAAGGTGCTAACATTTCTGTACTGTATCGACAATACTGTTTGAAACAAACCCACTGTTATGATCAATAGTATTATTACTCCATTTTATACTTTGAACATTTTTGACATTATTCCTACTAACTGTTTCACCGTTATTTCACATAACTATAATTCAAGGTCGGCTATTAAAGGTGATGGGAGATTAATCACATACAGCCTAAACTGTGTGTACAAAAAACAATAGACCTTTGCCTACCATGGACTACTTGACCTATTTAAATATGATTTTCTTTTCTATATAACTGAGTAATTGTCATGATCTTTATTTTATTATTGTTAACCATGTTAGTTGAAAAGTAGTTCTAAAGAAACTATGAAATGATATCATCTCGCGAAATTTAAATCTTTTAAATGCCTTGTTCAAATTTATCAAAGGGACTAATTGTTTTAAAAAAATTATTCCTACTGTAAATGTGGACGAATTCCTATGGTTAATCTTATTTGTATTTTGAGTAAATTCGATGTAATATTGTGACAAATGCTGACAAATTACATCCTGGATAGATTTGTGGTCGGTGGTTTCTGATAAGACTTTTTATAGGATTAAATGGAGAAGAGGAGGAATGACATGTTCTTGTGAAACCACATAAAAAAACACACGAAATGAAGATACAAAAAAAAATAACGCACAATATGAAGAACATGTACAAATGGAGATTTCAGTGTAAGATTTACGTATTTTCACAGGTATGCTGCATCCATTCACCAGTAAGCACAATTCGCCTATCAAATATGACCGTGTTATGATTGTTGCATACATAGTGTGACAGAAAAAAAAACAACAATCTAAAGTTAGCGTACTTGACTGATCTCCTGCAGGTCGGTCAATCTGAAACTGAATATATCAGAGAGCATTGGTTAGAGGTAGAGACTACTAGGACAACTGTATACTTAGACAATTGCGTATTTAGCTAAATTCTTAAGTATTGATAACGTGATTACAATCCCCCGGCATTCTAATCTATTCCTCTGACCTATGTTATTGATATCAGAGTCGTTATGAGTAGTTCTGCTTTAGATGAGGTTATATCATTCGTTCGCATGAGCATCAAGCGCATAAGCAATAGGAATGACACAATAGCAATACCAAAAATACAGAAAAAAAACCAAAATCTGAACGCCATATGAATATCTTGACATGATCATAAGCAGTAGTATAAATTCACCTCAAAACGTTATTAATAAATATATAATACTGTATTACTCTGCCTCAATTTCATCGATTTCGAAAAGTCCTTTGACAACGTTGACCGAGAAGTAATCTGGAGACTACTCCAACACTATGCTGCGTAGTGCCCAAACCCTTATCAGCCTTATTCAACAGCTGTATGACAATGCCATATGTCAAGCAGGCTACAGAGGAAAACACAGTGAGGCTTTTGAAGACAATGCAGGAGTGAGACAAGACTGCACCAATGATATTCTTGATTGCGGTGAGCTGGATTATGCGGCAGACTGTGAGGAGTGAGAAGACAGGGATACGCTGGACCAGTACGAAGACTCTAGAGGATTATTTATGTTTTTAAGTATTGGTTTTCTGGGATTTCATTTGTTCGTTTTGAGGATTTCATCATGAGCTGACGTCGGTTAGATAACCATTGGAAAACCTCGGAGTACTGAACAGCTGTTTCGCCCTAGTTTGGGACTCTACACACCCGTTACAGGAAGTTCGAACCCAAGACCTGTGGTGGCTTCGTATTGATCAAGAGTCCTAAACTAGGATGAAACAGCTGTCCAGTACTCCCAGATTTACCAATGGTTCTTTAACTGATTATTTATGTCATACGTCACACAAACTCGAAGACTTGTGAAAGAAAACCAGCAAAGTGGCTGAAGAGGCAAGCATTGAAGACAGGACTCCAGGTGAACATAGGGAAGATGGAGGTTATGAAGATAACCAACCAACAACGACAACAAGCACCAGCCAATGTCAACGGGAAAATACTTGAAAGAGGTTACTTCCTTCACTTATTTAGGAAGTGCGTTTTCAACCACAGGCAGTCGGCACGCATGAAGACATCAAAGCTATGTAGCATCTGGAAGGCAAGATACACCTTCATCAATCTCCAATCGGTTTGGAAATCTTCTGCACTCCGCCTCAGCATAAAAAACAAGATTCTGATTTTCAACACCAATGTCAAGTCAGTCAGTTCTCCTAAGTGAGTGAGAAACTTGCACTGAGCATCACAGAAAGCATTACCAACAGCTGTCTACGATGGCAGCTGGTCACAAAGAGTAAGTAACAAGAAACAATTGGAACAAACTAACCGAGAACCTATCGTTCAACAAATATGTAGGAGAAAATTGAGGAGATCATCGAATAACACCGCGCGCAATGCAGGCCATCGCTCGACTGGAATCCAAATGGGAAACGACGAGTGGGGCTTTGGTCCAAGGGTAACATAGAGGAGAGTGTGTGGGGAGGAGGAGATTAGAGATTATGAACAATCGTGGGTCCACTTGAAAAGGACAGCAGCAAGTAGAAGAAAGTGGAGATGTGTTGTTGAAGCCATATGTTCCACTCGCAGACCAACGGAACAATAATAATATACTGCGTGTGTCTGCAATTCATTCAAATTACTCAATTAAATACAACTCAGTAATTAAGTACCAGTTAATACACTACGCTATAAGCTACCCTCTGGTAGATGAAAGACAATTATTCTACTAGGCTGCATAAACGAAATTTCAAGCCTGTAACCCAGTGTATGATAGTGTTAGAGTACGTTCAATGTGATTGTCTTTCCTCTCTGATCTCTCCAAGTTTTCCCACATCATGTTAATTTTTAAAAGGGTATTTCGTCTATGCTTAACACCGCAAAAATTACCAAAAGGTGTGAGTGGGGTGTTGCTAAACCAACCTCTTTAATACTGTTGTGGACAGATACTTGAACTCCATGTAAATATCATCTTGTCGGGCTATGAGCACTCTCCATTTGCATCTCATTAGGTAGCACTAGAAGCGATCATAAAAGACTTGAATGCTCAGATGACTAAGTATAAAAACTCTATGGAAATTCCACATTGTATCAAAAGTACTGTTTCGAATGAAGTCATTATGTGATGTAAGAAGTGTTAAGTATGAAACTGGCAACTTACTGAGAAACAGTGAGTAAACAGCTTTGTGGTATTCCATCATTAGTGTATTGTAGTCACTAGTGCTACATTCATTTTTTTATCGACAACCTCTGTTAATTATTTCCACCTTACTATATGGGAAGAAAATTAGATACAGTAGTGTATTCCTTGCTGAAAATTTCGTATATGTATCAAATGTACTGTATTATTTCCTCTATTCAAAAACGAGCTTTTAAATTTTAGTAGGGATGAGGGTGTTTAATTGTTTTTGTGGAGTTGGGTGGCTAGCCTAACACCAAACCTTTCCTCTTTTCTGGGGGATTGCTAACAGTCAGCTAGTGAACTAAGCTGGGTTTACAGGTGCATCAGCTGAAAATCGAACCGGGATGCCAAAAAAGAATCACTGACTCTTCAATACATGGGGGTATATATTGTCTAGAACCAATGAGCTATGTCAAGGATATTTCTTGAGTTAAAAAGATAACAATAGTGCTGCATAGTTAATCTTAGGATAATTCAATCTCTCTGTGATTAATTTATTTAATACTGTTTGTGCAGTTCAAAGAAAGTAACCACAGACTATTGGTGTTCAAAGCAACAGGCATAAGTATAACACTTTCCTATCGTTAGTTGGGTGATATCAAAGGCAGTCTGGCTACCATAGTCTTTCAACATATGAACTTGTAAACTGTGACCTGCTGAGTGATGCATCAAGGTGTTTACAGAGGTCTTATAATTTCGGCAGAAGTTGCGTACACGCTTTGTTGAAGAATCAGGAAAAAAAGACAAAACGCCTAGCTTTTTAGTGCCTTCAGTGATAAAAAGCTGACGAGACCGTTGAATAACTACCAGGCACCAGGCATGACACCGGGTGGGACCCGAATGGGAAACGACGAAATGGGCGTGGTTTCAAGGGTGATATAGTATGGAAACTTATGCACAGTCATGGATCCAGATAGAAAAAAGAAAACAGAACGGGATAGAAGAAAGTGAAATGGAGATGTCTTTCCTATTGAACTTGAAGGAATTGACTCACCTTAGGATCTTTAAGCATCATTTTTCTAATTAAATCTGATGCATTTGTTGATACATGTCCAGGGATAGTATAATCACCTTTAACGATTGCTTCAAATATTTGTAATACATTTTGACATGAAAATGGTACGTGACCAGTTAGCATAAAGTATAATGTTACACCAGCACTATAAACGTCTAACTTAGCACCATCAAATATTGATTGCACACCTTTGGCAACTTCCGGTGGTTGAACAGCTGGTGTAGTTTGTCCACCGCTAATCTAGAAGAAAAAAGAAAACAGATATTCTCATCATTTAAAAGATGAAACACGGTTAATTCTTTTGATACTCTTTTATTTGTGTACAACTTTATACTACTTGTTACTAGTAAGTAGTATAAGTTTATCTATATATTTTTTTTACTATAGGACACAATTAAAGCAAATACGTATTTTCGGAAAATTCTCACCAGGCTTTATATTTACATAATGAAACATTGCTCATAGGCATTTGAATTTATGTGGTTAGCAGAATATAAGAGCAGAGTTCAGGAATGTGAATTAACAGATAACAACCGAGGTGGTTATAATAATAATAATAATAATAAAATGGATAAATTTATCCAAGTACTCATAGAGTCTAGGTAACGGTGAGTGTATAGGTAAGATGTGTATACTGTTAGAAGTAGAGGACAAAATAACTATTGTCATATATCAATTAGATGATATAATAATCATAAATTGTGAAACCGAGAATAAAATGCTTAACTACAGCACTGCATGATATTGATAATACAGTTTGCCTTACAATCAAAATAATAATAATAATACGTCCCTAGTATGTACTGTCTGCCGTAGTTTCATTTTTCTTCTTTAAATTGGTGTACCAACTATTAAAATGCTACATTTTGTGCAGAGCAGAGTCTCACATTGACATAACATTCGAATTTTGGTACTGTGGTTGAAAAATACTCGACTTTTATTACTGGTGCTCTGAGAGTGGAACATAAGAGCTTGAAGCATGGCCTTCCAGAGTTTCACTGGCTGTGGTGTTTTTACGGGAAGCGGGTTCCTAGTCTGACACATCCAATCTTCTCAATTTACCGGTTAGGTGGAGTGTTAGTGTTATGTTGCTGTTGCTGAGTGGTTAAAGGTAGTTTTCCCCGTCGCCGAATTGTTATGTACTCGTCGTCAAATTATTGCTATGTACTGGTCGAGAATTTAATAGTCCTGACGCAAGAAGGCGGAAATCAGAAGACCACTAGGTTTGCGATGATACTTCTATTTTCCAAACACAAGGAGAATGCAAAAGTGGTGTCACACCAAAGTAAGTAAGTCACACAAATTGTGAGAGCGAAATATATATGAATGTCCAGACAAGTGTGTGAACAAATCACTAGACAGTCTTAACATGAATGGCTAATTATAATGGAATGTCGATCCAAATATACATAGCGAAATATAGCAGACATGTCAACAACCACCATATATGGATATATGTCACCAAGCAACGGACTGTCAACAAACACTCATATTATATATAATATAAGGGGAATATACATTGTTAAAGGAGACAGGTTCATCAAAATGAAATGGTCACAGACTAAGCGAGCAACAGAAAGAGAGATCACCATACACACACATATATATATATATGTGGATACATATCAGTTAGTCAAGAATCGAACTTTGAACAACGTGTCGTGCATGGTTGATGAGCACTCTGCCGATGCAATTATTAGCATGATAATAGTGATAAAATAATTATGCAAAATAAGGTATTTAGGAAGAAGGGTGAAGTTAAAGTATCACGCTTATATGACCTTGAAGAAATGCTTTTCGTTGGATAATAAGATCTGTCATTATTGTACCGATAACGTGAACGCTATTCACCAACTAAGGAGCGAATTTCACCTAGATAAAGTTTAAGTACTGTTTGGACAATGTTAGGGTTATAATTAGGGTCAAGATTAAGGTTAGGGTTATGATAAAGGATAGGTTTGGAGTTGGTATTATTTGTTTGAATTTGTTTTATTATTATCCACACTTCCGAGTAAGTAGTCGTCGATCCTCTTGGTGGAAACCATAGAGATTCAATCGATGGCTTTTGGAAAAGACTGTAAAACAGGCTAAGAGCGATTGACGGGTCACAGGAAAAGATCATCTTCAGTCACGTCAGGAAATACAAATACAGAAACTGGTTTAACTTAAAAACTGATACTCCTCATTATAAGTGAGACGTATTTTTAAGTCATGTCAGAGAAAGATACCCTGTTTAATGTATTTTCATGCATTTTTTTGTAAAAATCACTTATTTTCATGATTGGTCAGCTCAAGGTCACTCGTGCGTTCGCATTCCACGAAGACAAGCAAAAACAACGAGCAGAAAAAAAAGGCAGAACAAGACAATGACGCATTACCATATCATTTGAAGTGAAAGCTGACACTGATGCAGATACACCGAAATCAGCTAATTTCACCAGCCAACCACGTGATGCAGCCAACAGATCAGCTAGTGAACGACCACAAAATGATGATTGTCCACCAGTACCGCATAGCCAATTATGATCGGGTAAATCCATTGTACCATTTGGGCTGCCAAATTCACTTAAACCACAACCAGGCGCTGGAGTTAACAAAAGATTCGCTGGTTTTATATCGCGATGTATGACGCCATTACGATGTAGAAAATGTAACCCATCAATCAGCTATAATTAAATTGGAAGAAAAAGAGAAAAGACATAATTGTTAGATCGTTCAATAAAAAGAAGGATTGGAGACAATCGGAAGGGAAGCAACCTTGGGGAATAAATTGCCACCACTCCCCATTCGACAGAATAAAACCTCCTATCACCTAGTTATTTAGGTTAGAGACGTCTTTTTTTCCTTTTTGTGTTTTCCGAGTGGAATATACGGCTTCAAGGTCTTAGGCTCTGAAGCTTTAGTAACGCTTAATATATGTGTAAAACTTGGGCACTCTGCGGTAGTATGTAATTCCATATCAATTTGTTTATTAAATATATCACACAGTGAAACAGTATTATTTATTGGATGACGTTTCGAACAAAATTATCTATTGTTCGTAACCATATCAATTATAATCACACAACTTCGAAACTTGAGTTTTATAGTTTTCTTTATATATATGTCAATATTAGCCAGCTAATTAATAAACAGGATAGCAGTAGACACTACGTATCAGATGGAAGGGAATGACTTAGTAGTTTAGGCGGTCGGCTTCTAAACAGTGAGTGGATCATAGGTTCGAACTCAGCACCGTCTACCGATATCTGGATAGTCACGTTGTACTACTAGCCCACACATACAAAATAGATATGGATCACCGCCAAATGCAAGTACTGTGTTAATCAGTTGAGAACAGAATACCTTGGTGGTGTTTGTGTGTGTATATACTCAATGACTTTGGCATCGGATGATGCGCAGCTACCATTCGACCAATGACTACCAACAAGCCACAAATAAAAGTTCTGAAGCAAAAAGCTTCCCCAATGAAGGAATCTTAACAGCTAAAGAGAGTGAATACATCTGCCTCAATGTGAACGATTTTTAGCATGATGTCTACAGAGAGATAAGTTGAGGGTTGAATGATTTCTTTTATCAGCTAGCTATTGGATTTGAAAAGTGAGTAACTGAGTTCCAGCCTTCAGTTGAGAAAATATGCAGTCCCGTAGTCATATCCCATATCATATCAAAGAATATGCTGATTCTGCTGATAGACCCCAACTCATACGAGACCTAGAAGGTTTCCCTAAGTGAATTTCAGTATCTAACATATAAAATGATACAAGGCGTAGAGTTGAAGTGGATAAATTACAGAATTATTAAAGATTGTTTCATAAGTGAATTGATGTCAAAAACGTTTTAAAAATGTCAAGTGTTGTCTAAAAATTTTCAAAAATTAGGAGTACGATATCAAGGAGTATATAATTAGTCATCATGAATGTCGACAAGAAATTTCAGCGTTATATACGCTGACGGTGTAGCTAAAAAACACATAGAGGAAGCCGTCTCCCGCGTGGTCCAGCGGTAAGGATTCCTGGCTTTCATTCAGGCGGTCTGGATTCGACTCCCGATGCCGGAGCGTTTTTATATGTAGGTGGTTCAATGTGATAAAATAATCGCCAACCACTCCACACGTGGTCCGGGTTACGACTCCTTGCTTTGACGATATTAAGTGTAGGAATGAGAGAAGGCTAAAATGTGAGGTTAGCAATCTCACCCAATGAAAACATCATAGTTACTGGGACTTCAAAGCCTAAAGCATTATGGTTCACGCTCAAAATGCAAAAACGAATGAATGAAACAATTGAAATACCTGTAAAAAGTAGGCATGTGCTTGAGATTCAGGAAGTCGACGAAATTGTTGTTGCTGTTGTTGTTGTGTTTGTTGCGAGTTCTTTACAGTGCGACGTGTCGAATGTTCTACACTGGATACTTTACGATTTTTCAGCTTCGAAATTTTGGAGTCTAATTCTTGGTGGATTTGTGTTGAAATCATAGGCAGCCTTGTATGAAATCGACGGATTTTGTTTAACTTTAATACAGAGGATTTCTTTGTAGTGTCTTCGTCATGTAAACCGTCGTCTTTGAGTGTTTCATGTTTCCCTGATATTTCATTCGACTCAAATTCATTCTCTGAGCTTACAATTGTATTCGATGGTACTCCGGCAGCTTGTAAATCATGCACTGAGCCTAAACAATGCTCCATAACTAGGCATAATCGATCTGGATTTTGTAAACGTAACACAGTGACTAGGGATACAACATGTCGACAGGCTGATAATCTTCTCATTAGGCTAACTTCATGTAAGGCTTGATTCCAACCACCGGGGATTTTTCGAACGCCTAATTTACTGATAATTTTTACAGCATGACGTCGAAGTGTAAATAGATCGATCGCATCCTTTACCTGAAAATAAATAAACAAATCTAGGTGGATAAAAAGCGGCTTTTACTACGTCACAAACAGGAAGACTGAAAACACTCAATTTGAGACACACACACACACAAGTGATACCTGCAACAGATTACAACAAAAAGGAACGGTTCAGAAAGTAAGATGTATGGAATAATACTTCTCCGTTAGGCGAGTGCAGAGAAACGTGGTTCTGAAGTCAACTATTTCACACTTATTTAAGTAGCACCGTTTCAACTACAGGCGGAACCGATGACAGTGTGTCATAACCACGATAAGAAAGACAAGGCAGCCTGCCATCGATCTCTGCAATCAGTGTGGGAATCTGTTGTACTCAGCATAAAACACGCGATGAGGATATTCACTACTAATGTGAAGTCAAACAATGCTTCTATGTGGTTCACAAAAAGCGTTTCTAACAGGTTACTGCAGACTTGCATCAGCAGCTGTCTCCGATCGATAACACTGAAGACAAGATGGCCGCATGGAATGGATAAGCAGATGGACAACCGAAAAACAATCTCCCGCTCAGCAAAAATATGCAGAAGAAAATGTAAAGATAGATCGAACACATGCTGAGAAGGCCGCACCAGGCTGACTCTCAAGAGGGATCTGAATGCGAAACGGTGGGTTGGGCAGCACAGAGGAGATCGTGTGGGGGAGGAGATGAAAGCTTATGGAGAGTCATGAAGCCAACCAAAGATGAGCGCAGAGAATGGGATGAAATGGAGATGTACTGCTGAAGTTCTATGTTCGACTCGAAAACGAAGGAAATAATAATAATCAGCTTTACAAAGAGAGAATCATCTTGGTATGCATAGAAATCGCCGACAAAAATATACTGGGATAACCTCACTTTCATTCAAGAGAAAGCTTCCCGACTCTTAGTCAATTTACATGTGAATGAACATGATTCATCTTTTAGAAAATAATTCAAAACGAACAAATATGACCTAAAATGATGAGAATTCCATTCTGTATCACAAGTACGGTTTCGGAATAAAGCATATATATATATATATATATATATATATATATATATATATATATATATATATATATATATATATATGCTTTATTCCGAAACCGTACTTGTGATACAGAATGGAATTCTCATCATTTTACTACAGTATTGCATCCAGTTAGTTCATTAACAATAAATAAAATTCTACATAGATTAAGGGTAATCTCAGTTAGTTTTGACAACAACATATTGGCATGTCGGTAGCAAGCCAAAATTGAACAGTGTTTGAAGAGTAGATGCTAGCATATTTACTGGCGTAAGCGGTAACAAAAAGATCGAGATATACAGAGTGTGAAAGAACGAAGAAGAATGATTTCAACAGAGTTCGCAAGGAAGCGAAAAACAAAACAGCACATAAGAGAAAAGAGAGAGGAAAGAAAAAAAACTTTGTACGTATAAATGATATGAGTTGGAAAGACGAGATCCAGTTGTTCTACTGACTATTTAATAAGTCATAAGCTTCACGCCTAATGCTTTCTTTACCACACAGAACACGAGCTAAGTAGGGTATGGTTGAGTTTTTGTACTTGCTAGTGCGAGCATATAGTTTTCTATATAGGCTTCTGGTTCTGCCTGATGAGATACAAGGGGAGAGTTGTGAATGAAAAAGGTAGTGTTAGTTTGATAAAATGGATTTAGCCCATTTTTCACATGAGTTTAAGAGCCTGTCGACCAGAATATTAACAAGCTCGTTAAGTGGCACGTTGCTTGCCCTGCTGACAACCTTTAACATCCTGAGTAATAAGATATAGTCTTTCTTCAGTAGCCAGCCCTGGAAAAACTAAGGGGGAACAATAGAGAATAATAAGCAGAATGCAAGAGTTAACGAATCGTAAGAGTAAGGGTTAGGTTATTCCAGAATGTCTCAACTTCTTGATGTAGAAGGCAAGACGGAATATTTTCTTAGTAATCATCAAGATATGAGACGACCAGGAAAGATCAGCAGAAAGAATGACGCCAAGATACTTAATTTCCGACTTGGTTTCTATTTCAGTGCCATCTATGTTGCACACCTCGTGAGTGCTAACCAGTTTGCTTAGGTCAGATTTATGCCTAAAGGTGAAATTGACTGTTTGGCATTTAGAGGGATTTAAGGTAAGACCGTTTTCCTTGGACCACTGGCTGATTTCTGATAAAAAGCCATTTAGTTTAGAGAAGTCACTTTGACATTTGACAGGCATATTTAACAAAATTAATGTCATTTGAAGATGGTAAGTCATGCAGAAAGAAAGAAAAGAGAAGTGGGGAGAGTAGAGACCTTAATCTATATATATATATATATATTGATTAAGTGAATTGATAAACGCAGGTTGAAAAAGATATCAATAATGCAGTAAGGTAAACGAAGCTAAGTGATGAATGAATTGAACTGAGATTACAACGCAGAAAGAACTTTACACAAAAGTGTAATAGTTTAGCCGCTGACATTTTATTAGAGCGCACAAAAAACTTGGAAATATAACAAATAGAAATGTATAAGGGAAAGAGTAATTAATAAATGGAGAATAATGAATATTTGATAGATCAGATAGATCACAAAGAATGATCACTTCTTGACGATTGACATCGACTCTGATGGCCAATATCAACAATCTCCAGCCATTGATTTTTAGCGTATTGAGGATCCCAGATATGATGTAGTCTACATCCCTCCCCTTCACCAACGTCAATCAAACCTTCAGTCAAATACTTTATGGATTCATGTCATGCTTTAAATATGACCACACTTAAGTCTTTTCCAACCCAATCCTAAGTGAGTTAACTTTGCTCGTCAATGAATACGCAGAAATCACTAACAATGTGTATCCAGAATTACTGAATAGTTACCTCTTTCATGACAGAGATAAAAATAAAAGGGAATACTGACTAGATGCTCAAATCCTCTTCATGGAACTGAAGCTCTGTATACCAAAAAATCCTGAAACGTTTCATCCAGCCCCTTTTACACTATGATGAGAGCCCTAGTGTTTGTTTCATTTTCCTTATTTATTGCATAAAATCATAGAGAAGACAGAGGTGATGAAGACATCCACCTCTAAGCAACAATAACACACACCAATCACTACTAATGGAATAAATCTAAAGGAAGGCGTCTCTTTCATTTACCTGACCTAGACAGAATCGTTTCAGCTACAGGCAGGCAGGCAGAATGGATGGGTATGTCAAAACTGGTCAGGATTGGGAAAGCAAGACAAGCATTCATATGTTATATATTGGTGCTGATCATTTGGTTGATCTGGTCAAATATTCCGAAAAACATTCACCTGAGCTGCAAACATTCTCTATTAATTTAAACACAAAGATTGTTAGTTTGAGTTGTGCAGAGGAAGGTGTGAGTTGGAAGGCTGTGGTTGGGACTATATGGATAAAATAAGCTTTCTACAGTTAGAGGTTTTATGTGAATGTAACTCAGAATCAATAATAACGTACTGCAAACAATCAAGATATGAGAGGAAAAGTCTATTAAACCGACATGTAGCTCGTTTAGACCCACCGTATGAGTATCTATAATCAACTGACTACGAACTCAAAACGCAGTTACCCCTTACCGAGCTATGAACTACATTTTATCGAATGAGAGCTAATGGTAGCACCCAACCAGGTTGAAGTAGGTGAAGTGGGACTCAAGCCCGGGACTGAGTGGCTTAAAGCCGATTACTTAAGCCAGTGGGGCACTTTTCCACAATACATTAAGCCACACACTTTATTTACTTATGATATTAACCAGTAGATCAGATTGAAGTGGACAAGGTGATTAGGGTTCGAATCTATAAAGCATCAATTAAAAGAGCTGAGTACACATGCTTAGTCAGCTACAACTCCACTTGATTTGGTGAAATCTAGCTTCTATGTGTCATAAGTGAATAAAGATTTGTAAGGTGATTCGTGGAACAACCTCGATGGTACTATGTAAACACTGCACTACTACTCATTTGTATTGGAAAAGTTATGGTGTTATATATGCCACTGGTTGATTGGTGTGAGCAATTGGAAAGCACTCACATCAACCAGTAGAGCTTGTCAACCAGATCAAAGTGATCTAAAAACCGGTCCCTCGTTAGGGGCCAAGTTCATCACACTCACTTCAACTCAGCTCAGGGAGTTGGATTAACCCAAACCATATGAATTCTAAGTATCTGTGTGGGCGGACTGGGAATACATTGGTCAAAGTTAAAGAATAGAGATGCAAAGACGAACGGATGCATCAATAGCCTTCAAAACTCTGTGCGTGTGTGTGTATTTATTTGGCAAAGTTGTGAATTCCACTCTCTGTCAGCAAAGATATTGATAAAATGTAAACGAAGAAGTCATCGTAAGGGCAACACATTTATGTAGTAATAAATGTGAATAAATAGAAATATTTTCAACCACACAACAACAGTGCATAATATGTATATATATAGTATGTGTCATGTGATCCCACGTACTTTTTTGCTTGTGTTAGTTTAACGTTTCAGAAGTAATTTACAGACATCAACTGAGTTTTCACTTAGTCAATTTATAAAGACAGAAATGAAGAACCATATGAGTTTACTAGTGCACAAGTGCGCACACACATGAAAAACAAGTCAAACCAAAACATTCTCTATAATCGCATTGCAGAGTTTTCGGTTTCATTTTGTCTTTTTGTAATATATATATATATATATATATATATATATATATATATATATATGGTTTTACGCATGAGGTTTTAAATAATGATAATAATAAAAGTCAACGTGAAATAAAATCGAAATCTTTGCTGTTACCATATATCATATTACATCACAATGAAAGATGTCACGGGACAGTTACCACGATAACTGAAGATGCAAGTTGATTACTCGGTAGAGGTTTGGCGAAAGTTAAGCTTGCTTGCTTAAAACTCAGTTAAGCATAGAATAGATTTTCTTCATGTACGAAACAGGCTATGACTTATCGTGTCTGATAATAATGATGATGATAGTGGAGTAATTCGGAAAGGGAT